GAGGATTTCTTGGACAGGGTGGCCACAAATCCGGAAAAATCTGGCATTAACGGAGAATGGAAAACATCCGGGAATTTTAATAAAATTTTAAAACATATTTATGTATATTATTTTATTTTGAATATTTCGCTTAAAAACTTGAATATTTCTTAAAGCTCGGAATTTTTATTTTTTCTTAGTACAGAATACCAAAAACTACTCTGACCTAAACCTAAAAAAATTTAGCGATGTCCTAGAGCAGCGTGTAGCCCGTGGGCCGGACGTGGCCTTTAGATTTCAGCAATGATATCATTCTAGCCTAATTATGAATATGAATTAGATCCCAAAATTAATGAGAAATATATAAAAAGCAGCTTTAAACATGTCCATAGAACGTAGTAGATACAGCCATTTAAAAAGCATGTTTAGAAAGGTTGGGCAGGCCTGTCCTAGAGTATAAAAAAACTGTTAAGTCCTAAATCGTGATAGTTTTGTTAAATGATAATCCTAAAAAATTTCTAAGGCTTAGACACGCGATTTTTGATTAACTTTGCAATCTCAATAATTGGTCTATGTCCGATGTTCGGCATTTTGAATATTTTTGTTAATTTTAAAACCTTTAGAATTTTAGAACCATATCTGGGATGTTGAATTTACGCTCGGCGGTCAGACGTTTTTTCGAAGTTTGAGACACTTTTCAGACTATCGTTCTATCTCAATGTTTTCTAAATTTCTAGACCCATAATCCGGAACAGTTTTCTAAGACCAGAATCACGGATTTTTTTTCTCTCTCAACCGAAGCCTTAGAATCTTTCAGTTGTTTCTAACTCCTGGATCTTCAATTTCTTTGTACGGGATCTTGCAAAATGGGCAATGTCTGATTCAAATTAATTAATTCTATGGAACTTATCTGAAGATATTTTGAAAATTTCTCAAGGATTTCCTTAGGATCATTCCAAAATGTCTTCAGAGCTACTTTTAGTATTCCCGTCAATATTGTTATGATTCAATTCGCTGTTCTTCATAACAGTTTTTGAGAGGATCTTTGTTTCTTGTGTTTGTGTGGTTTATTTGTATGAGTTGCCAAGTGACACAGATGCGTCTTTTCAACTTTAGTTCTTTTGAGATTTCAATTATTATTAATTACAGTTCCTAGTCCTATCAGGCCTGTTTTAGAGAATGACTACCTGGTGACTGGTTTGTTTTAAATTGGAAAAAGGAGACTACTTATAACTACTATTTACAACTGCAACTAACCTACAACTACTACATACACTCAAAAATTATCTTCGTATTTATAATGATTATTGTGAGGGTTCACCTAAATTTCATTTCAGATATAATTTTCTTTAATATTGCCTTGGAATATTCCTCAGAAAATTCTTGGTATGTCCTTTAGAATGTAGGACATATTCTCCCAAGTTTTCCTTCAATTCCATTGGGAATTTTTCTCAGAATTTCGTTAGAATTCTCCTCAAAATAGCCTTGAGATAATCTCTTATATATTTTTTTTTAGAAATTCGCTTTGGAAAGCTCTTGAAACTCTCCTTATAATTTCGCCTGGAAATGTCTTGAGAATCGTTTTGAAATCTGAGTATGTTTGTCTCAAAACTCCCTGTGAATTCTCCTCTTTGGAACCCTCTAGCAAAGTCTGTTAAGTTCCCTTAAAATTCTCACGAACTCTTTTACGAATTCCCTGGAAATTGTCTTCAAACTAGCTTAAAATTCAGCAATTTTATTTTATTTTTTTGTATTATAATCGATATTTTTTTCGACCTCTCCTCAGAAATCTCTTCGATATATTCATTGTCATTTAACTGCTTTTCAGTCGTCGTTCATCATTAGGCTAAAAATCTGATAAATAAAAGCTTAAAAAAATCATTAGGGATTGATTAGATTGAAGCCATATCTTGCTGAACATTGCATTAGATCTTAAGTGACATTGATCGATTCTCTTCCTCGATTTTCTTTTTCGTTAATAACATGAGCACATAACTACATCTTGTTGTGTTTGTCATATTATATTTAAGCTTCTTTTAACGATCTGTGTGCTGGAAGTACCTGGGAATGTCTTTACATGGCCGTGGGGATACAAAGAGAAAATCGACGGAGAGAATCTGTCAACGTTACTTAGGACCTAATGTAATGTTCAGTTTGATTTCATCATTAAGTGTTCACTTGAATTTTACTATAGAGTGCTACCAAAAATTCCTTAAGATTTGCTTATCTGGAATTCAAAGTCCCAAAAATCATAGTAAATTTATTGATATTTATTTCAAGCTAAAATCAGTTGCAATAAAGCTTGTATGGTGTTTTCTATATCAGCGAAAATTATGGCAACTCAAAAATCAAAACTGTAACTTGACCTCTGGACGAATGAATTTCAGGGTGGGACTGATGTGCGATTACTTTGCATAGTGGGATAAACTGACTTGATGTTGTTTTCACATTTTGCATGATCGAAGTCCGTCTCATGTTTGTCAATATTCCATTAGATATTCAGTACATATTTAAGCTTCTACATGTGCTTATTATGCTCGTCCATATGTATTCTCGAGAATTTAACTGAGCAACGATTTAAAAATAATTAAAATACCAATGATTTAAAATGACTGTATGGAATTCCATTTAGCTCTAGCACTTAAAAAAAAACAACATTTTTGCTTCACAAAACAACGAAAAACATTATGGAATGGAAAGGGTTAAACTCACAATCAAGTGTTCGTTGCGGTTGTGGTGATTTGTATGAAGTAATATGAGGGGCTCGGTGGCCAGATGGCGACCATTTTGCTCACTGAATAGAAACACATGGGATAAATTCTATGTTCAAAGAAGTGCTTCCTCATCTGCTTCTAAACACGACCACATGATTAAATAGATCGATTACATATAAGAAGTGTTTCCGTTTCTCGACCAGTTTTGGCTCTTCGGGATACGGAAAAGCGCTGATGGCTTGGAATCGGGAAATATTTCAAATCACAGACCAGAAAAGTATGAAGTTGCTTCCATCGGCAAAAAAATCCGAGTAACTTTCACCAAAAAATCCTTCTACATTTTTTCCCCGGGAACAGATTTGCGAGAATAGGGAAATGTGATTTTTGGTAAATTTACCGGGATTCTGGTAGGAAAAACTACTTATAAGTAGCTTCATGTCGCCGGGCTTGAACGATCGTCGTTCGTTTGCAATGTTTTGTCAAGATGTAAAGATCTTGTTGGCTTAGTGGCGACCGTTTTTGCTTACTGAGTAAAAGATCGTGGGTTTTACCCCAGATCCCTTTAAATTACTCAGTTGGTTATCAGGCTACGAGAATCGCAAATTATTGTTAAAGATCAATGAAACGTGTAGTGAGAATGGACGGTTACTCCCAGCTCCATTCAGTTGATTCATTGTGCTGGTTCTGATCAGTCACGGAGTAGCAACCTTTAATATGTGCACTCAGTCTATGCTAAGTCCGAACTTATTTCGGTGATAATATTTAGACACTTCAAATGAGAGTTTCCCGTTAATTTTTAGGGCCATAACAAGGAATTTTGGGACCACTCCAGTAGAATTCTGAGCACAATTTAGCGCGAATTTTAAGGTTAATTCCATGAATATTTTGTAAACACTGGGAAGAATTCCAAGACAATTATCAGGAGAACTCTTCGAGAATTGCTAGGTAACACTGCGAGAGTAATTAAAATGTTGACGGGAGTTTCAGAGTGAATTCGAAGAGCGTTCTGTGAATAATTTCAAGAGAATTATTGAGCACCCTATATGGGAATACCAGAGAGAGTTTTAAGATGAACTGTGAGTAAATTCTAAGGAAATGAACAAATTATATAGAAGTTCTCAGATCAATTTTCCGGACATCTACAAATTTACAAGATTCAAAACTAATAGGAATATTCAAAATGCTGGACTATGAAAAGTTTTTAAATTGCGAACTTCAAATAAATTAAGTACCACATACTTTATTGGGTTTAGAACTCAGACAGTCAAGCTCGTTGAAACTCTTTAATATCCGGTCCACGAATCCATTTCTGCCATAATGTTGCTATTTTCAAATTTAAAATCCAAAAAAATTAAAATCATGAAATTCTACAAAATTCCGTCCTATAGGGGAAGTGGATGTAATGTCGGCCTAAATGCCCCTAATTTGGGCCCATACATAAATTCTGCAATCGACTAAATTTTCAATAGCGACCAAATATCCATTAGTACCGTCCCAATGACGCGTTCATCTAGATAAAATTGATAAATAGCTGATTTTTAGAGATGGGCCCAATCTTAGATTCATAGGTAACCATTAGAGCCATTTCCCCTACTTATATTAAACTTAGAACAATCTTCGAGAATTCAAGACTCAAACAATTTTACCATATCATTTTGTCTGAGATCTAACCTCAAATAAATTAGCAAGTAGAATCTTCTAAAAGTGGTGGAAACAGCTCATCAAGCATCGCACATGTAATTTCATGGGTAGGTTACCTCCCCACTCTCTTGAATCATACACGGTGACTCAACCGACTGTCCAAGAAGAACCAGTCCCCCTTCTCTCGGCGTCGATCCAACCTTGCTGCTGCCTGAGCTATTGTCTGTTAATAGTAAATAATTCAGATGTCGACGTCTGGGGTCGGGTGGAGGTTGTCTAGTTTGTCGGATCACCCGCTGAAGTACCTTTGAGTTATTTACAAACAAACCTCGCCCAATTGAGAATACCGCCACCACTTGGCTCGTAGGTGGATCGTAAAAATTCCACCTCGCAAAAGCTCATGTCCAAATCAACGATGATGTCACACGCTGCCTGGCTACCCTGAACTTGTCTGCGCTATGAGATCACAAACAAACTCCCCGATCGATGTTGATCGAAAAGGAATTTTAATTGAATTCTAATTGAGTGGTTTTTGTCAATCTCGCTCTTCCGTCTTCGCTGACCTGCCGGAGGAAAACAATTGTAATTATGTCTAAGCCTGTGCTGAAACGGTAGTTGAAATCCTTGAGACTAATTCTCGATTATTTTTTCCCCTCTCTATTCCAGTTCGCGGCTACGACAATCATGCCAAGTGCGGTCTGGTCTGGATTCCGCACGTCGTGGCCTACCGGTGTCGGACGTGCGGCATCTCGCCATGCATGTCCATCTGTCGGGATTGCTTCAAGCGGGGCAACCACACGGATCACGATTTCAACATGTTCCTCTCGTTGGCCGGAGGGGCGTGCGATTGCGGCGACACCTCAGTGATGAAGGCGGAAGGTTTCTGCAGCGATCATGGGATCAACAACTGTCAGAACAAATCACCCGTCCCGGACGACCTAATGGTGGTGGCGGAAGCCATGATGCCACGATTACTGCTGCGGCTGCTGCTGCACTTCCGGGACAACAATGCCAAAAACCACAACTCGACGATTTACAGCCGAACGGCCAAGTACTGTGATGACTACTGTAGCATGTTGATGGAGTTCAACAACATGGGCGAACTGATGCGGCGGGTTATGACCAAATCGCTGATCGACGAGCGGACGTACAGAAAACTAGTGGAACCACCGTTTCCGCAGAATTCCTACGGAAATTTTCTGGAATACGGCCGCCGGAAGTACGAGGAAGCGGTGCGGTTTTTTCCCTCGCCAGAACCGCCTGACGAGTACAAACACCTACCGGCATTGGGCCAAACGATCGTTCACAAAACCCTGTTGGAGGAGTTCATTTTTTGGACGTTCAAGTACGAGTTCCCGCAGAACATCGTGTGCTTCCTGTTGAATATGCTTCCCGATCAGGATTATAAGGTAATTGGGAAAATTTATGTCTTTTGAAATCAAAGCCTAATCGATTTCTGTTTCAGGAACACCTAACGCGAACCTTTGTCATGCACTACTGCCGGATACCGAGCGTGCTGGAGATGTCCAACGATCCGGACACGCTCAGCAATCGGGTGGTGCACATGAGCGTGCAGCTGTTCTCCAACGAGAGCCTGGCGCTGAAGATGGTCGAAGAGCTCAGCCTGCTGCACGTCATGATCATCAGTTTGAAGCAGATGATGTCGAAGATCTTGATCCCAAACACGCTGCACGGTAAGCAAACAGCAAGCACATTATTCGCGAAATTTTTCGACGATTGTCAACTCAAAGCAATTCTAGATCCGGCCAGAAACTTCCACTACGTGATCGACTGTGCCAAGCGGGTGATGAAGGACCACTGCTACTGGCCGCTGGCATCGGATTTCAACAATGTGCTCTCGCACGAATCGGTGGCGCTGGTGTTCCTCAAGGACGATAACCTGATCGATATGTGGTTCCAGTTTCTGTCGATGTTGCAAGGTAGGTTGGGTGAATTTTATTGATTTTCGTTAGAAAGGGGTAGAACGACTTCTTCGGGAAGTCCTAAATTTGTACATTGGTAAAGCGTCACGTCTTAATTTTTTAAAAGGGGCGATTTATTGAGTACGTAAGGCTGAGCGAAGCGTTGAAACGAATGTAAGGAATAATATCAATAATGGGGAGTTCCATTACATTCGTTTCAACGCTTCTCTCGCCTCTTCGCTATCACTATGGTATCGGCCTATTGCTCTAACAATTCAAAAATTGTTGTAAAACGTGACGAGAGAGGAGTTAATTCGTCCTCAAATTCGCACACGGCCAATCAGAATGACTCAGCGACTGAATTCAGTTGACTCAGAGCATTTTCTTTCCATACGAAATTTACTCATATTTGGAAAAATCTGCAGTTACTCATTAGCTATGAGTTCCTGCAGGTTTTCCCAAATATGAGTAAATTTCGTATGAAAAGAAAATACTTGAGTCAATTGAATTCAGTCGCTGAGTCGTTCTGATTGGCCATACATGCTCCCATGAAAATGCAAGTTCCCAAAGATAAAAATGAGCAGGACCTCAGGATGAGTCATTACACTTTTAGATGAAGCTTGTAGGAACGTTAGAAAATCTCTGAAAAAAGGTCCTCTAGCAGGGTGTCCACTACCTGGAAAATTAGGGAATCTCAGGGAATTTCATTCAAATTCAGGAAGATATTTCTTAATCACAGAAACTTATTAAAAAGTATGGCTTACTTCACAACTTAATTACTCGGTTTAGTTTTAGGATGGTTGTTCATTTCAAATTTTAAATAGAGTTTTGATCTTGCGAATATTTTTAGAAAAAAACGCTGTTTTTCGAGTCTTTAAGCTTCTCCTTAACATCAGAAAAATTGCAGGAAACATTGTTTTGAGAATTTCATTATAATTCCAAGAATTTCAAGGAACTTCCTATAACTTCAGAATAGCTCTGAGAACTTCAAAAGCTTCCAGAACTCCGGGAAAGGTTTACGATCCTTACTAAAGGGTTTTCAAATAGGGATTTCCTAAATTTAACAGTCCATTGCGGACATATTGTTGAAGCTACAAGAGTCAACTTAGCTTTCATTTATTCAGTGTTTTTTTGCCAAATTACCATGGAGAGTTATAGTGTACAACCGCACGTGCAAATGATAAAATTGTTTTATCAAAGTAAGTGTTCTTTGCGAGCAACGTTCCGAGTGCTTCGCCTATTTTACGGTCGCAGGACTATTCGCAATGTGGTGAACAAATTCGAGGAAACTGGTTTGGTGAACGCTCAACCACCCGTACGTCAACGGAACGCAAGTTCTGCCGAGAATATCGCCGCTGTACGCGAAAGTGTGCAGGAGAATCCGCGGCAGTCGACCCATACAAGATCCAATTGACCCAGGAGCTCAAGCTTAACGATCATAGACAGCGCCGTGTGTTCGCTGATTGGGTTTTGGAGCAGTTGGAAACAGACCCCGATTTAGCCCGAAAAATCGTCTTCAGCAACGAGGCCCATTTCTGGACGAACGGGTATGTGAACAAGCAGAATTGTCGAATTTGGGACAAGGCAAATCCACACGAGGTCCACTAAGTGGCAATGCATCCCCAGAAAGTCACTGTTTGGTGTGCGTCATCGGTCCGTACTTCTTCGAAAACGACACTGGTGAGGCCATCGCCGTCAACGGAGAGCGCTACAGGTTGATGATTACCGACTTCTTCTGGCCTAAAGTGGACGATATTGATGTGAACGATGTTTGGTTCCAACAGGACGGTGCAATGTGCCACGATGTCAACTGGCCACCATCGTGTGATTTAAACCCGCTAGACTTTTTCTTGTGGGGTTATGTTAAGTCGCAGGTCTATGCCAGTAAGCCGCAAACCACCGATGCCCTCAAAGCCAACATTACTCAAGCCATCAACGAGATTCAGTTCGATTTGTGCGCCAGAGTCATGGGAAATTGGACCTCTCGGAAAGTTCAAACAATTATCTGTTTTTAGGGAACATCAGGGTGGTTACAAGAACACAGTAATAGTTTCTGAAACGTCACAGAAGCTCCTATAAATGCAAGGAACTGTAAAAAAAATTGTTGTGATGTTGAGAGATTTTCAGTTGCAGAAACATCACTAGAAGAATAAGGAGAACTTCAGGATGGATTAGAGAAATTCAGAGTGGTCCCATATTTTTTTTCTAAAGAGCTTTAAATAAGATCCGAGGAATGAACGGAAATACTTGGGATTTCGGGAAAATTTCATGGACAGTCCTGCGGGTAAAATCTAAACAGAAGGTAAAAACTGATATCTTTTATAAAATGTTGGGCACTCCAGGGAAGCTTTAAGAGCTTCCATTAGCTTCATGGAAACTGCAGGAACTTTTAAGAAGTTCTAAGCTCGTCAGGGAAGTCAAGAAATCCATAGAACTTGTGAATACTTTATATAAATTCTAAGGACCTCACACAAGCTCTAGTTCTTGATATCTTTCAGGCAAGCGCAGAGATCTTAAGGGCAGTACCAATAACTTCAGAAAAGTCCAGACTTTTGGGGAAGTTTAAAGATCTGTAAAGGACAAGCTCCATAAATTCTAGGAAAATTTCGAGAAACTTAAGTCCGTAGAGCTGCTGAGGAATTTAAAAAACTTCATACATATTTAGGAAGCATAACCTAAGTCCTAAAATTTTCAGGGAAAATCTTCAACTGTAGAATTTTATGAGAACTGCACAAACTTCCGTGTAGCTTCAAGAACATTAGATAACCTCAGTGCAGTTAATTTAACGTACCTGGAAGCTCAGGGAATTTCCAAATACTTCAGTAAAGTTCCCAGCTCTTCTTGAGAAATTTAGAGAAGTTTTTAGATATTTTGGAATGTTCAGAGTATTTGAAGAATAATCAGAGAGCTTCAAAGCAGTTTCTTCAATTAATTGGTGGAAGTTTTAAAAATTTCGAGGAGAAATTATAGATAATTCCAACAATTTCAGGAATATTGCGGGGCTTTTGAGGGAAACCCTATCAATATCAGGAAAAATTTTTTTTTAAAGACCTTCTGAAAGCTTCTTGATAAGTCCAGAGAAGTTTAGAGATTTTAAGACCTTAAGTTTTGAAAAATTTCGAAAAATGCTAGGAACTTATGGATAGATCAATGAACTTCAGGAAAATTGCGGGAATTTTTAAAATGTTCTGAGAAATTCAGGGAAGTCTTGAGAAATTTGTTGAAGTTTAGAGATCTTTGGGGCAGTTCCATTTACTTCAGAGGTGCATAGGCTTTTAAAGATCTTGAAGAATTATTAATTATGTTTGTGTTTCGAGCCATGGGTTGGGATCGTCATCAGGGTTAGCTTTAGTAGATCGTAAAACTTTTTACGCTGAACGGAAGATGTTTCAAGTTTCGCGACAGTTATCGAAAAAAATGTAACTGTTCTCTAAATAGAACACTGGGCGCCAACGAGTTAAACCACTACTATCCACTCTCCTTCTCATTTTCAGGAATGAACGTCAACATCCGCGAAACGGGCAGCCACGTGGAGTTCGAACCAAGTTCCTACTATGCCGCCTTCAGCTGCGAGCTGGAAGCCAGTGCCTATCCGATGTGGTCCATTATCTCGCACCTGAAGGAACCCTCGCACGCTCCGCTGGCCAAGAAGATTATGGCCTTCTGTGTCAACTACCTGCAGGATTGGTTGGATGCCGTGAACTTCTACCAACATCCCAAGTTTAATAAGGTACTATTCTCAAAGTGGTTAGTTGAAATCTCGTAACGAAATTTTCCCGATTGCAGGAGGAACTGTACCGAGCTTCGTTTCACTACCCGCTGCATCGCTACCTGGCGGCGTTCATCTGTCAGGGCGTGAAAAAGATGGGCATGTCCCTGAACGATATCCTCCCGTCGGCCGATCTGTTGCCCAAGCTGATGATGCATCCACTGCGAGTACAGGTTAGTCCTATTTCCTCTTCAATCATAACACAGTCACACCATCAAATTCCTGTTGGGAGTAATTTATTACACACAGCTTCTCACTTCTCAACTAGCGTAATACTCTACATTACATAGGAGATTAAATTAATGTCAATTTTGATTTTGATTTTAACTGGATCGACACGGTATTCTAAAGTCTATCGGTTTACACACATTCGTTCGTTCATTGACTTGGTGATGCTGCTGGTTGGCGGCAGAACTTTCAGCCTTCCAAATAGCGACGCCTTTCCTCTTCGTTCACCTGATCCAACGGCTGTTGCACGTGCGGTCCAACATCGTAGGTGAACACCCGCGGGGCCATGAATCCACCGAACTTGGGTCGTCCCTTATGGAAAAGTCCACAGCCACCGAGCGGAGTGTGCTTGGCCGGAACCACCGGTTGGGCATCGAAGTAGGGCACCGTCGATTGGGAAGCGTCCATGCCACGATCGCTCTCGCGGAAGCGGATGAACTGGTTCGATTCCGTATCCGGGACGGACTTGGTGGGGGAGAGGATCGGGATGTGCGGTCGGTCCAGCTTGAATTCGGTTCTGAATGGGAAAATAATTTCCGGTTATTGAATGGTTCAAATTGGTCCTCACAATACAACTCACCTCTTGTCATCGCTGTGTTCCGTTTTGTCGCTGCCCACCCAGATGCTCTTGTCCGGATCCATCAGTTTACCCGCCCCAAAGTCCATTTCGGTCATGCGGACTTCCAGGTTCATGTGTGTTCCCAGCATTCGGAAACGAACGCCGGTTACGACGTAAGGTGGCTGCAGCAGAATGTCATCCAGATCCATGATTCGGTTGTCGTGGTTCATAACATTGTAATCCACCTTGGCTCGAACGTTCGGCGACAGGATGTTATAATCGTCCGGTTCAACCCATTCCAGAGTGCCGTTGTCGATCTGACCTCGAGGAAGTAGTTTTCCCTGCTGTACCATCAGGTGGATGATTCGGTTCTTCTTGACAAATCGTAATCCCGTGACGACTCTGAAAAAATACACTTCATGAATCAATTGATCAAAATCGCAGGATCAAAACAACTCACTTATTGTTCATGACATCGGACACCGATTCCCGCATGTTGATGTACCGATCGGACTTAGGTCCGGCATCGTCGCACAAGCAGAAGCAGTAGCTGCAGTGCCAGAACAGCCAACGCCACCAGGAATCGACCTTGGTGGATCCCCGGGTGCAATGTGTCTTCTGCCCGAGGACCATACCGTTCTCGTACTCGATATACTCGTATCTCCGGTTGCTGCTCGTGGCTGCCGGGCATATCCACATGTCAGAATCGACATAATCGCAGCTGTACATCTTGCCGGCGCACTTGGTCTGTTTGGAGCAGTAGAGATCCTTGTAGCACTGCTCCTGCCGGACGCCCCAACTGTAGTGGGCACAGTTCTCCTTGCAAGTGTTGTCCGTGTTCATGTCGACTTCGTTCTCGATGTAGCCCTGCAGAAGGCGCGTCATCTGGACGAAGGTTTCGCCCTCCTTGTGCTGGTTGCGTTCCGGATCGCAGCGCCAGTACTCGCGGCTGGCCTGAGCCATGACCCGTTGCAGCAGATTCTGGGTGCGGTTGGTTCGATCCTCGAACCGACGGCGCATCAGCTTGGCTTCCGTGGTGAAGTTGCCTGGAGATGTATATAGTAAGGGAAGGGGGTGAGTAGTTGTACATGCATGGCTGATAAGGATGGTTGAACAACTTGGATGATGTAATCCGAGAGCGAGATTCAGACACCATTAATTATTTATAGGTGTTGCGCGAGTATGTTTACTTTCAAACATATGAGCACATTGCATTGGCTTGAGTCATGCTTGATAGCATCTTTGCGGAAGCTGTAGGTCTTTTAGGTCTTGGAAGGCTATTAAGGGTCAAATAAAACAAGTTAGCTTTTGCAGTGCCAAGTAAGTCAATTTTTCACACAAATACCATTAGGGTTCTAAAATGAACTCGAGTTTTTTCTTAGTCTTTCAGGCAACGTGTTTAACGCATTATTTCCATACCACCTGTCTGTCATGAATCTTCGATTGATGTGCCTCATGAAAGAAGAACGAAGTGATCGAAGTCGAGCGCTCTTTCACTCGTTGCTTGAAAGACGAATGAGAACGAGAGGCTTCTTCTTCTTCTTCTTCTTCTTCGCATTTCAAGCTTATTGCATATCGCATATTAGCTTATTGCGTGCTCTCAACTTAGTGTTCTAGATGCACTTCCACAGTTATTAATTGAGAGCTTTCGATGCCTGTACCATTTTTGCATTGGTATAATTGTGTGGCAAGTCCAATCATACTTCTATGCCCAGGGAAGTCGAGAAATTTTCCAACCCGAAAATTTCCTAGACCGGACCGGGAATCGAACCCAGCCACCTCCAGCATGGTCTTGCTTTGTAGCTGCGCCTTTACCGACTGAGCTAAGGGAGGCCCCGAGAACGAGAGACTATAACGATTGAAAGTTGTCTGTAGACGCCGATTGAGGTGCTAGAATGATGCGAAGCTGCTCGACTTCAACAGAACAAAAATAAAGTAAGCCTAGAAGCGAAGACATCAAATCAAGAAGACTAGTAACTCTGCCAGAATCCAAGCGACAGTAGCGCTGCGCTCGAGCAAAGGTGGAAGTGTTGCATAGAAAAATGAGCAAATACACAAACCTTTCCTCTGAGGTTGCAGTCTTTGCTATCAAATTCGTTTAAACATTTACCTTTGCGCGACAGATGACGAAAGATATTTGGAGAAAATTCTAGGATGATTTTTAAAGAATATTTGCGAACGTATTCGGATAAATTGTTCAAGAAAATTGTGATGAATAATTGCAAGAATTTTGGAAAATTCGAAGGGTATTGTAAACTGAATGCCAAGATTTTTTTTGGAGAGAACTCTTAGAGTGTTGTCCAGAGAAATCCTAGAATGTTGTGGAGTAAATTTCAGAAAGAACCCCAAAATTCATCTAGAAAATTTTGAAAAGAACTCTGGAGATACTTCCTAAGAAATTCTTTTAATAAAACAAAGTTTGAAGACATCAACTTAATAACCATACCATAAGTGTTAAGTTTTATGAGTAGACTTAACTAAAATATTCAAATTCACAACTACAAACAATTTCCTGTAGTTCAATTTTCAACGAAATTTCTTGAAGTTGACCCACGGACCTTTGGAGTTGACTCATCTTTAAAGTTATCCTAAAATGTATTCAAATTTAAAGTATAAGGCCTCTACAGTTTATTGAATTATCCACAAGGTCATTAAATACAACCCATAAGATCTTTGAAGTTCAATTAATAGGCCTATGAAGCTGGTCGCTGATGCTTTTTGATCAACACTAAATGCTTCTGGCCTGACGCCATAAGATATCAGGAATTCATCCAATAAACATCAAAACTTTTTGGAAAAAAATCATCTGGATGTCTTCATATTTGCTCCAGATGCTTCGTAAAACAATGGGTAAGGTAAGGGTAAGGTCGGCCAATATGGGTCAGTAGATTGATGCAAAATTTGAAATTTTCGCTCCACAGTGCTAAAAGGGTTTCAAATCGGATCCTAATTAGCCTTCCAAAAAATGAGCTCATTTAAAAAAAAAACTGGCGTGGCACAAACCATTTGAAGTTTCATTGCACTGTCAAAAAATACTATGACTATTCTTATGGGAAATTTTCTCAGCTAGAATTTTACGGAAAATCGTTTTTCAGCCAAACGTCAAATTAAATAGTTATTAATTGTTTAAAAGATTGATAATCTTATGGGCAACAATGTACTCTGTATTACCCATCTTGCCCTTTTGTACCTTAGAAATAGAATTGTAGTAAGTCATCTAGTCAACAAATCTCAATATTTCTAAGAATTTTCTTGGACCTTATCTCAGAATTGTCTTGGCAATATGAACAGAGCTATCTAGGTGTTGTCAGGTTTTTTTTCTCAGGAAATTCCATAGAAATTCAGCTTAGCATTATCGAATCATCCTCCCGGAATTCCCTTTAAATTCCGTAAAGATTATTTTAACAATTTGTCAAAGGTGTTTCTTGAATTTCCTTGCATTTCTCTTCTTAAGTCCTGTGAAAACAACGTATTTGATCTCACAGCTACAGACTGCATTAGGTAAAAAAGAGTCAAAAGTTATCCGAAATAATGATCTATGTTTCAAGTGACAATTTGGGTTTATCATACTCTTGAAGACTATGATTCAGGCTTTAAAACCTCACAAAAAGTTGTGATGTTCCTTGAGGTATTTTTAGAAACTAAGCTGTTTCCATTCAACCGGGAAAACTATGTTCGTCACCCTGATATCTATTATTTGTTGCCATAAATTGAGTTTAAAATCACATAATTAAAAACTAAATTGATGGCTGCTTATTAAACCCGATTTAAAGACACCCTATTTCGTTTATTTGCTTGTACTTTTTCCAAAGTACAGTCAACTCTCCATAACTCGATATTGAAGGGAACATCGAGTTATAGAATTAGAAACATATATTTTTTTGGTTCGTGCTTAATTTTAAGAATGATCCCAAATTATTCCATCTACTGTAATATCTGTTCCTATTTATCCATATGAATTCGAATTTCCGGAAGTTCTGAGTAATGTACACCAGGGCAAGTTGAAATGGTACGTGTATCTCTTAGCGGAAGTGAATCACTGTAATTATTTTAAGCAAACCACTAGATTATAAATAATCTCAGTGATTGTTCACTTCCGCTAAGAGATAACATCTACCGTTTCAACTTCCCCGCGCGTTTCAACTTGCCTCGGTGTACATTAATTAATTCCAAATATTAAGGCAATATGAACAAAAACACGCACATAGGACTGTCAATTATTGAAATTCAGTTTGTCTTCCAATAAATGCTAGATTTGCAACAGCGGTTGTTGCTTCAAGACTGTGTTTTATCACTTCTGTTTAAATCCCGTGTAGATTTTCCGCAGACATTTTGAAGACATTTCATGTTTTGTAAAGACTTTTGAACACATATACCAAAACATTTGAAGTAGATTTTGGCTTCATATTTTAAGCAGCTGCTAAAACATTGTTATTATGATCAAGAATTTCAAAATAGAGGCGTTAAAATCTCAAATGAAGTGATCATTTTCCAATGGAAGAGAAATCTGCTACGGAAAATTATTTCAAGTCTCCGAGTCTTGAATAAAAATTCTTCAAGTCTGAAATTTTAAATGTGTACAAATTTCTAAACATCGGAATTTCCAGTGCCACATCGTGTATCGAAAAAAGAAGTCTTAGAAATTTGTAGATAGAGCTGGAATTAGGGCGTAACAGCTTTTGTAAACAATGACTTCTCTCGATGATTTCTAGGAATTCAAGGCACGCCCACGCAAACCAGCATAACCATCATGTAAAGGAAGTCGTTTCCTACTGGATGGCGATGTTGATTGCGTTTGCGAGCCTTGATTTTCTAGAAATCATCGAAAGAAGTTATTGTTTACAAAAGCTGTTACGCTCTAATTCCAGCTCTATCTAGATTTGATTTATTTTAAGTAAGCAATTTTAAAAAGGATTAGTAATTTCCATTTGATTCCACTACCTTATTTGCTTATCCTTAACAGATACGCGTAGTTCGTCTACAATGTACAGACTTCTTCAATGTCTTGTGCTAATATTCGACTTGCACATTTTAGACGAAATACGCGTATCTGTCAAGGATAAGCAAATAAGGTAGTGGCATTAAATGGAAATTACTAATTAAAGTTAAGAAGTCCAGGATCACAGGATTTCATTGAGATTTGTTGAAGAATTTATTTGAAATAATCGAAGTAATCTATCTTGGGACTCCGACTCTCTATGCTAATACTTACATAATTTTCTTCAAAACACTTTAGAAATTATCCAAAGAAAACTCTTGAGATTCGCTCTGTAATTCACTTTGAATTTCTAATAATTGTGGCATAATTTTCTTAAAATTCTCCTCAGAAGAATAATGCTCACCTGAATATCATTCTTTTTGGAATTTTCCTCAGCATTTTCTTAGTATTCTTCGATGGAAGTATTCCTTAAATTACTTTGAGAAATCTGCCCAGGAATTCCTCAAAATATGCTTCAGAATTCTCATGGAATTCCACTTTTAGTTTCCATGAAATTCTCAGAGGAATTTCATAAGAATTTACCTTGGAAATCGCCTCAGAATTCCTTTGGCATTCACTTTAAATTTACTTTGGATTTATCCTCAGAACTTCCATCGAATTCTGCTCATAATTCTCCATTGGAATTCTCTTCAGAATTCTTATACAATTCACCTGTAGCTATCCTCACAATCCGTTGTCAATAATCCTAGACATTCATTAAGTTTCTCCTCTTCTCTGGTGGAATCATGCTTCGATCTCCCGTTGAGTTTCTGCTCAGAATTCCAATTGGAATTATTCTCATATTTGCTTAGTAATCATTCTTTAACCAATCATGTTTGAATTACTCCATGCGTGAAGTTAACGATTTACATAGTTGGAGATGCTTAACGTCCAATATCAGACTTAAAGTGGTCATTTTATACGATAGATGATCCCTCGTGCCTTCCTCAAGATTGACCTTTGCTCGCTTTCTACACTCTACACTAGCCTAAATAAATATAAAGACACTTTAAAAGCATGGCTCCCCCAAACTTTAAGAATCACATGGGAGATACATACATTTAGGCG